CAAATCTAACATGAGACAAATAAAAAAATATACTCAGAGCGTTGGTTCAGAGACCCAGCCTGTGACACCAGGCCATGGTTGTTTAAGTTGACTAAAACTAAACAAAGAAAAATAGAAAAAAAAAATAAAACTCTTTTTTAATTAACTCAATCAAATTCAAACCAGTAGCATGTAGTTACATTTAATAAAAAAAAACTAAAATGTACAAATTTTGTCCTATTTGCCAACTCAATCAGTCTGCTGAATACAAGCACTCTTCTCTTCTTAAGGGGCGTGGGGGTTCAAACATGTATGGTTTGCAGTTCTTGATGAAGAGACACTGTAATTCTATTATATGTGGCACATGCAATGACAGTAAGTATTGTACTCTGTTTTATGTTGTCTCAACTAAACTCCTCTATGTATCAATCAAAGCTTACATTGCAAATAAAAAAGAAAGTAATTAGATTTTGTTCATTCTGTGACCCCCACTGCCCATGTTGTATGTGTAGGTATGTGTGAAACATAAGTATATTTTCAAATCATATAAGTATGCTGTTACCGTCAATGGAAGAAGGGATTGGAGGTCCAAATCTATTGTACTGGTCTATCTGAAAACACACACCATTGTACATGGTGTAGCTTTTGCAGTCCTTTGGAATAGTTGGACCACATGCCTGAAAAGAAAAAAAAAGGTCAAATTCTGATTAGAGTTAACTGATTATTTTCCTGTGCCAGTGTATTTGCAGTTCGCCAACTCACCACAGTGTTTTGGGTTCCAGGATCACTTTTCATTGTCAAACCAAGAGACATGTTGATTGCAAAATGTGGCTCTGGATTGGAAGCATTCATTAGATGTTAAAACACTCATAAAATACATTTTGTGATCACTAGAAAAAAAAGTTGAATATGATTTAATGCATACTTGAAAAATGCTGTCAGAGTTTCAGGACATTCTGTTGAGACATTAAGAAACGACCTACCTTGAAATTGTATATTTTGGCAGTTTTCTCCAGAGGTGGTACACCTATATATTTTCCCTTTTCTGTTTTGTGAATACTGTTCTAGTGGGGCACTGATGAGCAACCTAACGAGAGAAAACCAAACATAAGATACAAGTTTGGTGGATAAAGTGAAGTGAAAAAGCTCCAATTGTTTTAATAAGGATTACATGATTCAATATTTCTTCGACAAAAAAGCAAAAGTATTAGTGGTAATTATAAACAACTGTAAACCCACATTTAACCTAAAAACCATGCTCTGACTTACTCTGATTGTCTTTGAACCACCTGGTAGCCAAAACCAGCAGCAGAACTCCTAAGGGTCTTCCAAGCCGCAGGATCGATATTGAAACAAAGTGCAGCATTTAAGACTGAGAATTAAAGTAGAAAGAAAAACATTATTGAAGCTGATTATGGAATAATAATGTGATTTTATCAGCACTATCTATAATCACTTATAGAAACAGTATACAGTCTGTGTTAGTTTCGTTGTATTTCTTGAATGCAGCCACAATGTTTCTTTTATGACCACTAGAGAGCACCAAAGTCCAACACTTTAAAGCTCTGAATTTTGTTACTCAGAATAGTTATTGAGTTAAAAAACATTTTTAATATTTTAATTTGGAATCAGTTTTGTGTCTTTGATTGTTGTATTTTAATCCATCAGTCCAAGAGTAAGTGCTGAAACATAAACTTTAAAGAAAAGATATTGTAGTACTTTTTAAAGCTCCAGATATTTATCAGGTACAGCACAGTATCAAAACATATCATTACTATACTGTATAATTTGCTTATTTACAGTATTGAAAAAAGCAGCTAAATAGACAATCACACCTGTGTGCACATACATCCTGCTCTCCTGAACTATGTCAGATTCATCAAGTTATGACACACACACACACCACACACACACACACACACACACACACAAGACAGAAAATGTCTGAGATAAGTAAGGTTTGTATAGCATTTCTATAAATCCCAAAAATAAATTGAAATCAGCAAACTGTGATTACTAACTTTGATATTCAAAAAATACAAAGAGGCAAATATTTTCTCAGATGAAAACCATAAAATTACAATCTAATTTTACATTGCAAATTGAATGTCCTGTACAAGGCTTCCCCCTGAAATGACCGGCCTTATTTTTGCCTTCATTTTTTGGGCATTAGCTTTACACAGCTTTCTGAAATAACCAGTATATCATATAGTGCTTGTTCTCCATAATGTACATGTATTTGAAAAATATACCTCATCATTATTACATGCACTCATTTTTTTTCTTGTCACCATGACTCAGCCATATTAATATGATCATTATTGTCTCAACAATAGTTAAAAACTATCAGTCCGCTTAGAATTTGTTTGATTTTTCATGTTATGTACATTTCTGCTCAATTGTTATACAGACATGAATAAACATGATATTAAACATGTCAGAATAAACTGGACAGATACATATGATGTGACATTAATGTAAAAAGCCTCAGGTTTGGTTTAGCCCTGTATGGGGCTAAACCAAACCTAACAGTACATAACAGTCAGATATGTATGTATAACGATTGCATGGACTTATTACAGTTTTTGAACCTGTTTTAGTTTTATGATTGGAAAAACACAGTTTTCATCAAAATGCCAGTCATAATTTTACTGTTTGCTGACCTTCATAATTAGAAAATAATAGATAAAATCACAACACACAAACTTGTTTTACCTGACAGGAATAGTGTAGCACTAGATATCCAGTCCATTGTGTGAAATGTTACATCTGCTGATAGTGTCAGAGAAGAGTTGAAACCAGAAATACAAAAATGATACAGTGCTTCCTCAAAGATAAGACAGTCATTTAAAGGAATTATTATGTAGGAGGAGTTACATCATTATTTTATGACACTATAGACTGTGGTGGTATTGCTTAAGTCTTATCCAGTGATTCAAGCACTTGATTTTTATAACAACTGAAACGTTTATTAGTTTCTAGGCAACAAAATCAACTCATGTAAATAATAATTAAAGGTTTTACTTGGCTATTTATTATTCTAACTTCAGTTTTTGTTGCCAATAGATTGGTACAGCATCCTCAGTGGTGTGGAGACTGTACTAGTCTGTCATGGTAAACAGAGAGCATGAAAGCAAAGCTCTCGATTTATTGATCAATCTGTGTTTCTAAGATCATCTATCAGCAAATCAATTATTAGTTACTGAAAGATTGTGTTTATGGATGTATACAATGGAAATTCACTTCCTCTGAGATATGGTTGAGGAGATCAGTCATTTGGGAAAGCTGTTGCATCTCCACATCAAAATGGGTGTGAGCAGTGATGAGGGGTCATGGGTGCAAATGTACCTCTACTTTAGACAACGCCCTTTCAGTTCCAGTGTGTTGACCAAACATTCATGGATTACTACTAATGCTTCACAGCATGTCACTGTGACTCAATACTGACTCAAGTCATGCAGTGTAAAAACAACAAAATTATTCAAGGTGAAGAAATGTAATATTCTTCAATGGCCAAAAATATGTCAATGTCCAAAAACGAACTATTTTTTATAACTAGAACATTTACAGGAATTTGTTTTTAATCTTGAATGGATTAAATGTTATCCTGAAAAGAGTGCTTTATTATTTCAAGTATGTTGAGCGTCCTGACTTGGAACACATTTGTCAGAAGAAGATGTCATGGTGTCCATTTCCTGTTTTGAGCATATTTCAGCTGCCGTAGGGCGAGAGGTGGTACACATCACCACTCTGTCATAGGACTAACACAGAGAGACAGACAACCATTTGTACTCACAAGTAACAGTAGTAGTAGTAATATAACAAAAATATAGCTAGATGACATGGTCTCATTCAAAACAATAATCTGTTGAACACAATTTAATCATGGGAAAATTTTCCAGGTAATTAAATCAAGTTAACAAAGGTTTTGTTAATTCACAGAAAATGTTCACTTTTTGTTCTTACTTTTTTCTCTAGACCCCTTGTATTTGATTACTGTTATTTAGTATGAATAGTTTTTGAATCGTATTAACTCATTGCTGTTTTAATACTGAAAAGTGGGCTTGTTTCTATTCTATTAGTTTTTTTGATTTCCCCGAGTGTGAGTTTTTCTGTTTTCTCTAATATCTTCTTCAGTATATCATATCATGTTTATATTATGTTATGTTGTTTGATGTTTTCTTCTTGTGCCCTTGTGCCTCCATTCTCCATTTTCTGTGTGTGTGTGTGTGTGTGTGTGTGTGTGTGTGTGTGTGTGTGTGTGTGTGTGTGTGTGTGCGCGCGTTGGCCTATGTTCCTTCAGGATCACATACCTGGTGGCAATCACACACTCGCTCTGATGAGTTTGTTTGGGCAGCTTTGAAAGGATGCAGCAGTGCATCAGCTTATGATGGCTTGGTGCCTTGAAAGCAGCTAGTGAAGTGCTACTCCTACTTTGGTTATTGTTTGGATTTGTTGTAAAGTTATGTTCACCAGTCTGTCCATGTGCACAGGATTTGGAAATTGCAAGCTGTTGAGTGGTGTGTGACTCTGGTGTGGACTCTGGGATAATATTGACATGAGTCTGGGTCTAAGCAAAAGCCCCGTGGAGACTGGTCCTTCCAACTGCTTTCAACTCTTTGAGTCCTGTCTCTAAATAGGTCTTGCTGATATTTGCAGGTTGTGTGTGTGTG